CTTCATCATATGTTTTCTGTCAGAGATAGAATAATCTTTTATAATACTACAAAGCAAAACAAATATCTAGAGAAAATGTAAATTTGATAAGGATATGAAATGTAACCTATAACGTTCTACTTCATTTTCGTTGTATACACCAATCAAACTTAGAATGTATATCGTGGTATAAATAATTTTATGTATCGTTGACAACGAACATACAGTGTAATACAAGTGTTATCAGTATTTCATGTTAATTTTCGTTAAAATAAATAATAGTACTCTCTATTATTTGCCCCATATAACGATAGGATCGTTTTTTTTCTCATCCATTGTCATTGTGTTCTTTTTCTTTTCTTTTCTTTTTCTTTCTTTCGTATTCTGTCCATATTCAATGTGCTTGTCACCTTTTCTTCTTACAATCATATCCATGAGTAACACTTGTCTTTTATTTGAATACCAATGAGTATTACTCTTGTAATTTTTTTTTCTAAATAACTTCGCCTATTTACTTAAACGATGGAGTGAATCTATTTGAAAAAGTAAGGCATCTAATAGATTAACATCAATTTTTTTGTTAATATTTATTTACTCACTTGAGAAGGAAGAAAAGAGGAAAAAAATGATGAAACAATCATATTGGACATAATTCTGATAGTTGAAATCAATTGAAACATTTTCTTTAAATATTGTAGATGTCCTCAAATTTATTACCTGACATCGAAAATTTATGTACATTATTCGATAAACAAGTAGATTTAACAACAGAATCATCAAATAATGAAATAGAAAATATCAATTCTACATTGTAAGTATTTATTTTGTTTCTTTGTTTAATATTGATGATTCATTCCTTTTTGAAATATACCAGTTAATTGTTATTCGATAGAAATTTATTTATTCAGCCAATAGTATAATATGAAGTTTCTATGTTACTATCGCTTTTTTTGTATGCAATTTAGTTTTCTATTTTTTATTATTTATTTGCAAATTTTATTTTAGTAATAGTCAATCACGTCGACCCTTAACTGTATCAACACTTGCTCATTATTTCGGTCTTCAGTGTGATGAATATCTTCGTTTATCAATTAAATCTACGAATGAATCAAATAAATCCGACACTTTAACGAATTCTTTAACAAAACAACGTGGAATTACGTTTGAATCTAATTTAAAATCTTATTACTCTTCATCAATACTATCAAATATTCAAGATGAACATCAATTTTTACCTTATCTTCGTTCGTTAATATCAAATCCAACTGACTTACGAATTGGTTATAATATAAAATTTCGATGGACATACGATAATCATCTTCAGAGTCATTATAAACCTGATTTTTTATTAATAAAACATTTACCTACGAATGAAAATCGAATTGAGATAACAATAGCTGATGCCAAATCATCATCTCGTATGCGTATTGAACATTGCATTCAAGTTGCACTTTATGCGATTGATTTACGATTATGGCTCGAACGAAATAAATTAGATGAACATATTTTTATAAATACTTTTGGTGAAATATGGTTACCAAATGATAATGATTTGATTCCATATGAGAAAAAGGTTTTTCCAATGATGAAATTACAAGAAAGACTACAACATTTTCTTAAATATGATTTGGATAAAATTTTAACAGGTAAATCATTAATAGAATATTCTCATCGTTTGTCTATGTTGACAAATCATGTTTCAATTATATATCAGATATTTAGAATAAAGTAATTATAACAAAATTGATACATCCAAAGCTCCTAATCTCAGACACGATTGGTTGGAGACCTTTTGCATCTTAATCTGAGTATTTTCAAGAGAAATCTTTAAAAATCAAACTTGATAATCGTCAGACGAATGTGAATTTCTTGTTCTTTCCTTATTATTAGAAGCAACTAGTACACCCGATTTGTTTGTACATTTGATCTTAGAATAACCCAGATATTATTGGATTTCATTCTCGATTCAGGTTTACCTAAGGTGATATGTCAGACATAGATTTCTTCGACGTACTTTTCTATTTTCAGTCGAAGTCAAGTCATTCTTTATGAGTGTTCTCAAAAAAAAACATTATTTTTGTATTGTTTTAGGATCAAAATGGATAATGTTATCACGTTGTTCATTTTGTCCATTTGTTTCACGTTGTCGTGAAAGAGCTATTCATTATGAACCTGAATCAATAAATAATTTATCTTATTTAACACCATCAACTCATTCGTTAATTTATTCATTTTTTCAAACCACATTACTTTCATCAATTGATCTTAATCTTATTTTTGAAAAACCAGATCCTAATAAAATTTACGTTGATGATAAAATAAAATTACAAAGAATTTTATCAATCAATGTCGATGATAAAACAAGTGCTGTGGTAAAAGCTCTTCAAACACGTGAACCACAATTGAAACAACAAACATCACTTTTAATACCGAAAATAAATAAAGATTTAATTCTTCTTTTTATTTTTCTAATACCTAATCCATCTCAATTACATTCTGTAGCTCTCTTTGCTTATAATATATATGATACTTCTGATCAATCATGGTTTTCTTCTCAACCAATTATTCAATCATATCCATCACCATATCAAATTGTTTCAATTATATCTCAATCATTAGAAGAACTTAAAGAAAAATCTGAACGTCCTTGTCAAATTGTTCTTTTTGATGAACAAGAAAAAACAGTTCTATTCGAACAACTTACACTTGCATCTGATAGTGAATATATTAGTCAATGTCTTGTTTTATTAAGTACATCAGAAAATGCTATTCTACTTGATTATCCACCGGATATTCTTCAAAGTGATCGTCTATTTCGATCACATCCATTATCAAATGTAAAAAAAGATGAAATTGAAAAAGAATTAAATAAACGGTATGGTGCATCTGGTGATCAAAATAAGAAATCTACAAAAATAGAATTAGCACATCAATTAAAACAATTAAACGATCAAGAACAAGAAAAAACAAGACAAACTCTTATTGGATTACCATGTCTTATTTCTTTACATACAGGTAATTTGCTTTTCCAAAGTTAATTATTAAGTTAATGTTTATTTATAGCTATTCGTCAATCATTTATTGTTCCAACACCTGGTTATTTTGATTTAGATGATCTTAAGTCTTCTTTCAAAATTACTTTGCCTTCAATGAATACTACAGAAATACTCGAAGCCATATCCGAGTCAGGTATTAATAGTTTTATTGAATAACTAATTAGATAATTTCTTGTAATTGATACATTGAGCTTTCATAAAAAAAAAATAACATATTATTATCATATCGAAGTTAGGAAAGCGAGACATTAGTAGGTTCAGATGAGTTTGTTATGTTTATACTTTGAATTTTAAATGAACTATTTCTCCTTATTTTTGTTTTTATATAGATATTTCATTCCGTAAGTTATAATTCAAAATTTTTTCTCGAGTAAATTTCATATTGTTGAGATAAAAAGAATCATTATGAATATGATATAATGTTGAATAGCTTTCTTTTGTCAAAATGTCTACTTTAATTATTAGTATTCTTGTATTTCGTATAAATTAATCAAACTATAGTCTTATTCTAAGCTGATTTCAGAATCTCATTTGTTTATTTATGCTATATTAGAGTTTTTTATTTTATTTTTCATATTATTTTAACAGTTATTGATGATCTTGTTCAACAGCGTTTAAATGTTCTTGCACATCTTTATTTAACTATTCAAAATCAACTTTCAAAATCGAATCTTCTTCAATTAGATGTATTTCCATTACCTAATATTTTACCAATAAACAGTTCTCATCCACATATTCGTCGTTTAATATTTTTACGTCAATATGAAATGTTATATTCTTTACGTTCAATTCAACAAACACGATTTGACACGACTGAATCACCTATTCTTATTCGAATAATCGATAGAAAACCTATTGATAAATATAATAATTTATTGGAATGTCAAATTGAACGTGGTCAAGAAATAATCTCAAAAAATTTAACTGAAAATGTAGTAAATACAAGTCTTTTTCGTACATATCCATACTTAATTTCCAAAGATAATTATTCCATTCGAACATTTCCTGATGCTGTTTATATGGATTCAGCTATTGATGGTATTCGTTCTCGTACAAAACTTGATCAATGTGGTTTAGCTCATGTAGAACAAAATGAAGAAAGTGAAACGATATTTATTCGAGTTAAACTTTGTAATTTTTCTTTTCAAATTAATCAACAATATTATTTAAGTGAACGTTATGTGGATTTTAATACTAAAAAAGCCATTCAAGCATTAGAACGAGCAACACCATTGACAACACAAATATTAGATGATCCGAGACAATTGAAAAAACCTGAAGTCATTCAAAAATCAAGTCAAAATTTACAACAAGAAATAATAAATATGTTTTCTAAAATCGAACCTACGATTAAACCTGAAGGATTACATATGCTTAATAAAGCGCAACAATTGGCATGTGACAAAGTTAAAAACAATCGTATCACACTTATTTGGGGACCACCAGGTAATAAGAACTTTCATCAAATAGAAATATAAAATAATAAAAAGGGAAATTATTACAAAAATATTCTAAAAACTAACTAGTCGTTTTAACAAAAGATTTCACAATTTAATACAAGTGTGAGATGCATCATTGGATTAGTTCTATACGAATGAATCTGTTAAATTGATGGCTTTCATAATATTGAAAACAATTTGAGCTGAAACTTAGCCTATTTGATAATACATTAAAATAATAATTGTGACTTGATTTTTGTTCAGAATGAATGATAACTAACTGACTGATATTGAACTTCATATAAGAAAAATAAAAAACAAAATTAAGATAATGACATCCTTGTATTTCAATTTTAAGAAAGGTTGTTTAGGTCTACTAAAAAGAACGTTTTTTTATCTTTGGAAATATTTATCTTGAACTGATTAAAGAGTATTTTTAATTTCGAATAGAACGTGCAAAAATAGGATTAATACCGGAGCTCTACAAATGAAATATGCTTTTCTTACTTGAAAGAGAATTTGTCATTAGATATTTGAGTTGATATTTTGAGATTCCTGCTTTGAATAAACAAATTCATAACAATAAGTGTTATTATTTATTTTTCTATTATGATTTCAATTAACTATTAAATTCTATAATCTATATATGATTTTTTTTCTAGGGACTGGTAAAACTTATTGGTCTGGTGTAACTGTTTTTCAGATGTTAATGTTTTCTGCATCACCTTTACGTGTATTAATTACAGCTTGTACTCATACAGCAATTAATAATCTTCTTTCTTCAATAGAACATCTAAAAAGACTCTTTTCGTCATCACCACAATTTCCTCAATGGTATAAATTAGCTAATGAATTAGTTATATTAAAAATTGATTCAAATAATTATCGTGATCTTTCATCTTGGAAAAGAGAACATTCAATAGTTGTTGGATCAACAGGATGGACATTACAAAAACTTGATCCTTCAATTGTTTTTGATGTTATTTTTGTTGATGAAGCAACACAATTATTGACAAGTGACGCTGTACTAGCACTTAATCGTTTAGATAATCATGAAGAATCTCGATTGATTGTCGCTGGTGATCCATTACAACTACCACCTGTTAAACGTTGTATTTATCCAGCTTTACCTTATCCTGTACCGGATCTATTTTCATCTCTTTTTCATTGTTTATTACGTGATGAAAATAATACACCAATATCATTACATACAGAGAAACCATTCGAACAAATATCGCGTTGTCCATATTTATCTATTTTTAATGAAAATCATCGTAATTCTAATTTTATTATTTGATTTTTTTTCAATTTTTTATCATTTTCTTTTTGTCTTAGGCATGAATGAGCCATTATCAGATTTTACTCGTCTTCTATATGGTGAAAATTATCGTCAAGGTCGTAAAAAATCTTTACTTTCAATTCGTTCAATTGATAATTTACATACACATCTTCTTGGATCTCTTCTTGAAGTACATAATTCACTTTATACTTTTTTTGTTGATTCTTTATCAACAAGTTCATTTTCGTCACGTGCTGAAGATCTTCGTCTTGAATCACATCTTGTTTATTCTCTTGTCAATGAACTTATTTTACGTATATCTCCTTCATCAATATTCATAATAACTCCTCATCGAATGCAACGTTCTGCTATTCAACAAAAACTTTCAAGAAATCCATTTTCAAATGTTTCAATAACATGTGATACTGTCGAACGAATGCAAGGAAAAGAAGCTGAATGTGTCATACTCTGTATGCTTTACAGACAACATGAAATTCTTGAAAATGAATTGGATTTTATTTATAATCGACAACGTATCAATGTTAGTATAACACGTGCACAGCAGCTATGTATTCTCCTAACATCACAATTATTATTTTATCAACCTCCACTAGAATTATTTGTTAATGGAAATACAAGAAATGCTTATACTTTATTGAATAATTATGTTAATAAATCTACTGTGCGATTATTGGATAGTGACGGAAATATAAAATAAATGAACAAAGAATAATATAAAATTAATTTGTTTTTTTATTTCAAACATTTAACGAAAATTTATGTCATATATATAGCTATTTGTCTAGAGACGTACACAGATTAAAGAGAATAATTTATTATTAGAACCAATCGTCTTTTAAAATTGATTAGAATAAAACATTTATAATCATTACGAGTATAACTATATCCTAGATCTCTAAAAACTGAAATTAAATGAAAACATTCTTTTCATTTATATTTCATAGAAATTCACCGTAAATTTATTTCCAATATAAAATGATTATTATAATTGATGTTTATTTTGAAATATATGTTTGTCTTCATAAAACAAAATATAACTGCAGTTTATTGTAATATGCTGTTAGCACATTCTATCTATTATAATATTAATTTAATTTTCATCATCAAACAATATTACTTTTTTTTACATTAGTCAGGTGTGTGTTTTACTTTACTCTCAGCGAACAACTTATTCATATGATATTAATTGATAACATTCGTAAATGTTAAAAAATAGGATGTTTTTTTATCATGTTCAATTTTTGATATCTAGCTCATAGCAGAGATTGGCAAAGTTGTTAGAATAGGTTATACTTGAAATCGATTATATCTATTTCTACATCAAACATATATTTATAATGAGAAGAAGAAGAGAAAGTAAATCTTGTTGACCAGATCAATTTATGGTACTACTTTTTATGTATATAAAAAAGAAGCAGTTATTTTGACAGTTGATTCTTTTTAACTATAGTTTTCTTATATCAATTTCACTTCAAATACGAAAAGGCAACTTTATCTGTTAAGATTATAATTACTAGGTATTCAATGTAAAAATTTAGACATATATATGTTTCACTGTAATTTATTTATTTCCAACCAAAAAATAAAATATAATGATTAATAAACTGGTTAATAATATTCAAAAGAAACATTTTTAATCAAAAATACGCTCCTGCGATTTCCCAAATATATAATATGTCGTTTAGTTTAATGATGGTAATTAATTTCAATTCTTTGAAATAATTCCACCAGAACACACATTACAATTGCATGATTTAATACGTCGAATTTGTACCGTTTTTTGTTCTGTTACCGTTGGTGAACCATTGGCAAAACAATCGAAAACAACTGACTGTACATATGTTTCTCCGACTGAACAGCAAGTGCATTGACGCATACTATCAGATTCACATTGTCCACTGCATCGTTCTCGAGGAAAACTATCACGTGATGTACATTGACCATTATTCACTTTCAATGGACTACTATCGAATTGTTGTACTGTACAGCGAGTTGTGTTTGTTATTGGTGTTGTTGTTGTTGTTGTTAAACATTGATTATCAGATAATTTCAAACCATCAGCTGTACAATGAACAATATGACAGCTATCTCGTGTGCGAATCATTGTGCCTTGATCTACAGTATCATTAACATAAATGATATTTCGTGCTTGAGTAGTACCATTCGAGTAGGTATCGACATAACCAATTTCTTCTACAAATAAAAATCGCCCTGTATACTATCATTATGGATATTATATTTCTACTTACTATCACCGACTGGTTTCTTGTTAAATATACGAACATAAAATGCTTCATCAAGTAAACATTCACAACGACGGTCACTACAAGATTGATGTTCGATTAATTGTGCTTCAGTACAACTCTTTGATGAGCTTCCATTGCGAGTGCGTGTTTTAAAACCAATACCACATGTACGACTACATGGACTCCATGCAGACCATTCTGATAAAACACAAGGTGTACCAGTTGTCGTTGTTTCAGCGACTACAAAAAAATAATTATAAATATACAAGAGAAAATGTTAAATATGTGTATCCATACCAAAAGACGAACAAGCAAAAACTTCAACATGAAGATTCTTTACATCACTATTTGGTGTTATACGAATCTTTGTAGCATTCAATGTAGTTGATAGTATAATTTCATTATTTACTATGACACTTGGCTAAAAAAACATAACATATATTCTCCACTTAATTTATCTCCTACGAAACATACATTATTATAAGCACTCAAACGTGGGAACACATCCGACGCTGATTGATAATATAAACGCCAATCTTTCAAATTTTCCGCTGTTAATCGAATACGACCAATCTGGAAAAAA